CCAGCCCTCCCCCCCAGCCAGGGGCGGCATCCCACCTTCCTTTGTTTCTCTCCCTGGGGGGTAGCTGGTCAGACAGGTTTGGAGCCCCCTTTGCATAATGACTCACCCCCTGCCCTGCTGGGTCGTGCTACAGACAGCAGAGGTCGCCCACAGCCCCAGCAAGTTACCCCCCACTACGTCACACATGGCTTCTGGCCTTGATCTTAGCTGAGCAATTTGGAGATTGGGTTTCCTTGGAACCAAGGCTCCTTTATCCCTGGCCGGGGGTATAAAGAGGCACAAACGAAGTTTAATTAATAGAATCCTAGAACCCTAGCACAGGAGGGTCCTCCAGAGGTCATCCAGTCCTGTCCAGTCTCCTGCCCGCACACCAGGACCAAGCACCATCTAGATCTGTGGTTCCCAAACTTTTCGGCGTCACGCCCCCTTCTTGATTTTTGAAAAAACCCTCACACGCCCCCCTCTGCCAAAAATAAAGCAGCAAAACTTGTTGAGGAAAAAGAAAGGAACTGAGCGAGGCAGCAAAACTTGATGGGGGGGGAGGCTGGGTCACCTCGTGCCCCCCCTGGAATTTCTTCACTCCCCCCTAAGGGGGCACGCGCCCCAGTTTGGGAACCCATGATCTAGGTCAGTGTTTCCCGATTGGTGCTCCGGGGAACCCTGGGGAGCCGCGAAGTGAAAGCAAGGGTTCCGTGAAGAGCCGGAACCCCCCCACCCCCGTTAAAGAGACAGAGCCATGGCGAGGGCTCTTTTGTTGTTTTTGAAACACGGCAGGGGCCTTTTTTTTTTTTAAAGGCAACTCTAGGGGTTCCATGGCCAAATAAAATTGGGAAACACTGATCTAGATCATCCCTGACAGGTGTCTGTCCAACCTGCTCTTAACTATCTCCAATGAGATTCCACAACCCCCCAGGCAATTTATTCCAGTGTTTAATTCCCTGGCAGTTAGGAAGTTTTTCCTAATGTCCTTCCTTCTGACAAACAGAGGCTAGGGACACCATCCTTATCCATCCTAGCTAACAGTCCTTGATGGACCTGTCCTCCATGAATGTCTCTAGCTCTTTTTTGAACCCTGTTCAAGTCCTGGCCTTCACCACATCCTCCGGCGAGGAGTTCCACAGGTTGACTGTGCGCTGCATGAAGAAAAACATCCGTTGGTTTGTTTTAAACCCTGCTGCTGAGTCATTTCATTGGGTGACCCCTCATTCTTGTGTGATGGGAACAAGTCAAGAATGTTTCCTTATTCGCTTTCTCCGCACCTCTATGATTTTATAGACCTTGATTCTATCCCCCCTTAATCTCCTTTTTTCTAAGCTGAAAAGTCCCCGTCTTTTTAATCGCTCATACGGGATCCGCTCCAAACCCCTCCTCATTTTTGTTGCCCTTTCTTGAACCTCTTCCAATGCCACGATACCTTTTTTGAGTTGAGGTGACCACTGGGCCCAGTAAGCCACGCCGTCTCCAGCCCTACAGAGCACGCTGCAGCTAGAGACAGGAGTGGAAAGGGAGCAATTCAGCTCAGAAAGGGGAAAGCTGGTGAGGAGGGCAGACCTCTCCTGTAGGCTGAAAAGGGTTGGGTGCCTTGCTGAAGGACCAGGACTGTGTTCTTCCTGGCTGCCCATTTGGTTTCCTTTTTCAGGACAAGAAGTGGAGGGCGTAATGGGGGGAGGGTAAATCACAGGGTGCAAACCTGCCTCTCTTCCAGGGTTAACCCTGCTGACTCTCCAATGGCCAAAGTAGGAATTGGGTAGAGTGGGCATGCCTGAGTTTATTTTCCACTGTCACACAACTGAATGGATGCTCCCCTCTTGGTGGCGTCTCCCTGCGCCAAGGTCCCCCCTCGCTCTCCCCAGTTGCTTGCTGCACTCAACCCCAGCCTCACTCTGCCTCCAGCCCCCCTAGGCTGTTTCCCCGGCTCCCTGGGCTCTGGTAACTTCAGCCCGGCTCCCTGGGCTGTTTCTCCGGCTCCCTGGGCTCTGGTAACTTCAGCCCGGCTCCCTGGGCTGTTTCTCCGGCTCCCTGGGCTCTGGTAACTTCAGCCCGGCTCCCTGGGCTGTTTCTCCGGCTCCCTGGGCTCTGGTAACTTCAGCCCGGCTCCCTGGGCTGTTTCTCCGGCTCCCTGGGCTCTGGTAACTTCAGCCCGGCTCCCTGGGCTGTTTCTCCGGCTCCCTGGGCTCTGGTAACTTCAGCCCGGCTCCCTGGGCTGTTTCTCCGGCTCCCTGGGCTCTGGTAACTTCAGCCCGGCTCCCTGGGCTGTTTCTCCGGCTCCCTGGGCTCTGGTAACTTCAGCCCGGCTCCCTGGGCTGTTTCTCCGGCTCCCTGGGCTCTGGTAACTTCAGCCCGGCTCCCTGGGCTGTTTCTCCGGCTCCCTGGGCTCTGGTAACTTCAGCCCGGCTCCCTGGGCTGTTTCTCCGGCTCCCTGGGCTCTGGTAACTTCAGCCCGGCTCCCTGGGCTGTTTCTCCGGCTCCCTGGGCTCTGGTAACTTCAGCCCGGCTCCCTGGGCTGTTTCTCCGGCTCCCTGGGCTCTGGTAACTTCAGCCCGGCTCCCTGGGCTGTTTCTCCGGCTCCCTGGGCTCTGGTAACTTCAGCCCGGCTCCCTGGGCTGTTTCTCCGGCTCCCTGGGCTCTGGTAACTTCAGCCCGGCTCCCTGGGCTGTTTCTCCGGCTCCCTGGGCTCTGGTAACTTCAGCCCGGCTCCCTGGGCTGTTTCTCCGGCTCCCTGGGCTCTGGTAACTTCAGCCCGGCTCCCTGGGCTGTTTCTCCGGCTCCCTGGGCTCTGGTAACTTCAGCCCGGCTCCCTGGGCTGTTTCTCCGGCTCCCTGGGCTCTGGTAACTTCAGCCCGGCTCCCTGGGCTGTTTCTCCGGCTCCCTGGGCTCTGGTAACTTCAGCCCGGCTCCCTGGGCTGTTTCTCCGGCTCCCTGGGCTCTGGTAACTTCAGCCCGGCTCCCTGGGCTGTTTCTCCGGCTCCCTGGGCTCTGGTAACTTCAGCCCGGCTCCCTGGGCTGTTTCTCCGGCTCCCTGGGCTCTGGTAACTTCAGCCCGGCTCCCTGGGCTGTTTCTCCGGCTCCCTGGGCTCTGGTAACTTCAGCCCGGCTCCCTGGGCTGTTTCTCCGGCTCCCTGGGCTCTGGTAACTTCAGCCCGGCTCCCTGGGCTGTTTCTCCGGCTCCCTGGGCTCTGGTAACTTCAGCCCGGCTCCCTGGGCTGTTTCGAGTCACTCGTAGGGTTGCCAGATGGTTTAACCAAAAATACCGAACCCCCCGAGCTCTCCCAAAAAACACCGGGGAAAAAATTCTGTTGAGAAAAAAAAGGGGGAGACCAAAGTTCTTGAACAAAAAAAAAAGCTCTGTGCCTTTAAATGGCCCCACGCTCCTCATTCCCCCACCCTCTCCAGATACTGCAGTGAAAATTGTCGAGTATTTTCGGGTGAATACCGGACACCTGGCAACCCTACCGCATTGGGAGGGCCAGTAACCGCCTTGTAACGGGCGGATGGGGCTCCGCTGTCCGGTTTGTCAGCTCTCGTCAGATTTCGAAAGAACGAGATGCAAAACATCACCTCCCGAAGTAACAAAGTCGCGATCGGCGCCATTCCCCGAGGAAAGCAGGAGTGACGATTTCGAAGGAGCCAGCCTGTTCTTTCGAAGTAACGGGCTTGGGAGCGTGGCTGCTCTGCGTCTCGTTCCGAAACAAGGGGAGCTATTTCGAAATAACGCCCTGGTATAGACCGGGACCAAGGCTGACATGACCCTCTGGGCAGAAAGCTCAGCACAGGAAGAATTGGCCATAGAAGGGTCACTGGGTTAACCCTCAGAGATTTCGAAGGAGCCAGCCTGTTCTTTCGAAGTAACGGGCTTGGGAGCGTGGCTGCTCTGCGTCTCGTTCCGAAACAAGGGGAGCTATTTCGAAATAACGCCCTGGTATAGACCGGGACCAAGGCTGACATGACCCTCTGGGCAGAAAGCTCAGCACAGGAAGAATTGGCCATAGAAGGGTCACTGGGTTAACCCTCAGAGAGGTAAACTAACCCCTCCCCCAGCCCCACACTGTGCCTCAGTTTCCCTTTCTAACACGAGCCTCCTGAAGCTCCCCTGCCCATGGGATCAGAACCCTCGTTCCTTTGGCTCCCCGGACAGTGCTGGGTGTTTGCTCCGCATTACCTGCAGGGAGGGGGAGGGAGCCAGACAGTGGCGAAACAGCCCTGTGCGGAGCTGACCTTGTGTGAACCAGGCAGGAACGCACACAGCAAGGGGGTGACAGGTTCAGCTCGCCACTTGCCCGTTTTGAACCCTAGATCCACACCCGCCTCCCCCGGGAAACCCCAGGCAGCCTGGAGTCTGGGCAGCGTGGAGCCAGCTCTCTGGCCGGAGCAATGAGCAGACCTCTGCTGTAAGTCTCAGCAGGTGCGGATCATGGGTCCCTTCTGCACCGGTTTTATTCTGACTCGCCGTGTTTGTTACCGCCAGGGTAGAATCGTAGCACACGAGAGCAGGGAGAGACCTTGAGGGGTCATCGAGTCAGGTCCCCTGCCCTCATGGCAGGACCCAGCACTGTCTAGATCATCCCTGCCAGGTGTCTGTCCAACCTGCTCTTAAATCTCTCCAGTGATGAAGATTCCACAACCCCCTGGGCAATTTATTCCAGGTTTCACCCCCCTGACAGGCAGGAAGTTTTTCCTAATGTCCAACCTCAACCTCCCTCGCTGCAATTTAGAAGAAGGAGTCCCCGTTGCGCTAACACCGCACAGACCAAAGCCGTGCCCGGACCCTGCCCTGGGAAACCTCCAATCCAAATAAAGAGTCGCCCTGTGATTTCGCCGCCAGCCTCCCGCCCGCATGGCCTGCCGCCAAGCCCCGTGACAGCCCCCGGCGGTGGCCCGTGTTGGATTAAGATCTGATGAGTGACTCTGAAATGCTCGTGCCGGGGGGTGCGTCCGCGACCGCGCCGGGAGGGAGAGAAGGGGCCGGACAGCCCTTGACCCATGTCATTGCCCCTCGGCAGGTATCACGACAAGCAGGAAGTGACCAGCAATTTCTTGGGGGCGATGTGGTTAATTTCAATCACGTTTCTCTCCATCGGCTACGGCGACATGGTGCCGCACACCTACTGCGGGAAGGGGGTGTGCCTACTCACGGGCATCATGGTAAGCCCCCTGTCCGCCAGGCGGAAACCAGCTCTGCAGACAGGTGGCAGTGGTCCCTCGAATCTTGTCCATCCATGGACGGATCTGCTTCCCACCAATGTGCGCAATAAATGTTGTGATGTGCACCCAGGCATGTGTGGATGTGCACCACCAGGAGAAACACAAAGCTAGCCGTGGGCACTCTGCTAACCAGTGGGGCAGTGTTGGGATTTCTCTTGAGCGGCTGCACAAGCGCAGCGTGCAGGTAACACCGACAGGCGGTGTGGCTGCTTTTCTCACCACTCCCTTAGCCAGCAGCTGTAGTAGGCTGTTACTCTCTCTGAAAGAACAGCCAGAAAGAGACCAAGATGAGACATGTGAGCACAGGCGAAAGACCCTGTTTCTCACTACCGGCTGCCATGAACAGTGTGGGTTCCCCCAGCACATTCCCGGGGTCCCTGCAAACGTTCCAGGTGCCCAGGTGATCCCCACGCTGTGCCCTTCTGAAAGTCCAGTGGGGGTGCTGGCACCCCCTCTCCTTAGCTCTAGCCCCCACTGGTCCTCTCCCCCCTCTCCCGGTAGCTGGAGTTCTGCTTTACCCTCACCCCTTCTTGTTTTCGTCCCAGGGCGCTGGCTGTACAGCTCTGGTTGTGGCTGTCGTGGCCCGGAAGCTGGAGCTCACCAAAGCTGAAAAACACGTGCACAATTTTATGATGGACACGCAGTTATCAAAGAGGGAAAGAAATCTCCCTTTCTCCCCTACATCTGCTCCTTCCCCCACTGGCCTGGCTCTCCTCCGCCCCACCAACTCCAGCCCTGTTCTGGGGGGGGGGGGGGTGCAGCCCTGGGAAACAGGGATGGGGTTGAAGTGGGTCTGGTGTGGTGTCTAGGCTCTCTCTGCCCGGGGCGGCTTCCTCCTACCGATGGCTCAAAACATGACCCTTGCCCAATTGACTTGACTGCCTGTGATGTAGCGGGGACTATATTCATGCTCTGAAGCTGCAGGGGGTAACCGAGTTGTGTTGTGTGTGATTCCACTGTCCTGTGCAGTTCTGCAGGAACTCTGGGTATGTCTACACTACAGCGCTAGTTCGAACTAACTTTGTAGTGTAGACATACCCTCTGTGTGTGTGGGGAGGGGGCACGTGCCTCAGTTTCCCTGGGCAATGCAACACCATCCGGATGAGGAAGGGAAGGCTGGGTACAACTCGCTGTGCAAGTATGTTCAGTCTCTCAAGTCCTGAGGACCAGGTGACCACAGATAACCCCTTGGGCCCGGGAATCTGAGCAAAGGAAGGGGCAGTTGCTGGGTGTGTGAGTTAGTTTTTCGGCTGGCTTAGGGAGAAGGGAGTCTAGCTGGCTTGGGGGGCCAGTCAGAGATAGATCCCCGCTATCCCCAAGATGGATTGCACTGAATGCTCCTGGTTCCCGTAACAAGTCTGAGCTACGCTGTGTCCCTGTCGATGAATAAACCTTCTGTTCTACTTGCCGGTTGCGGATGTGGGGTGCAGGGCCCGGTGACTCCCCCCCACTCCGTGACACTACCGGTGACTCCCGTATTTATTGTCCCCCGCTCCGTGACACTACCGGTGACTCCCGTATTTATTGTCCCCCGCTCCGTGACACTACCGGTGACTCCCGTATTTATTGTCCCCCACTCGTGACACTACCGGTGACTCCTGTATTTATTGTTCCCCGCTCCGTGACACTACCGGTGACTCCCGTATTTATTGTACCCCGCTCCATGACACTACCGGTGACTCCCGTATTTATTGTTCCCCGCTCCGTGACACTACCGGTGATTACCGTATTTATTTCTGTTTTCCCCAGGTGAAAAATGCTGCTGCCAACGTACTCAGGGAAACGTGGCTCATCTACAAATACACCAAGCTGGTGAAGAAGATTGACCATGCCAAAGTTCGGAAACACCAGCGTAAGTTCCTCCAAGCCATCCATCAGTAAGTCCAACACCTTTACCTGCTTCGTATTTGGTTCCCCTCCGGAGTTTCCAGCGGTGAGGCTGGGGGAGCAAAGGGGAAGGGGGGAGATGAATCGGGGCAGGCGTGAAAACGAGCCAGCTGACCTTTGTACCGTTCCAAAATTTGGACGGAAAAGGTCGACATGTTGAGGGTTTTTTAAAGATTGTGGCGAGAGCACGAGAGACGTTTTTCTTACCATTTCAAATACGGCCAGCAAAGTTCATCCACATTTCATATTTGGCCAAAATCACGATATCAAAGTTTGATGTCATCAAATTTCAGGTCAAAATTCCAAAATTTTCCCAGCAAAAGTGAAAGTTTTGGACCCGAAACAACACCATACAACCTTTGCCAATTGCTTTATTTCCGTTTTTTCAACCAACTTAGCAGGTCGTTGCAAGGTTCAGATTCTAGCAAAAAAACCTTCTCCTGCGTTTGCAGCTTGATTAAAAATGGCATCGGAACTTTGAGGCAAAAATGAGGACAAAGGTGGTTGAAATTTCCAGTTTGCCAGCGTTTCAACCATCGACGGATTTCTACACGTGGCCCTATTCCCCGTCCTGTTTTTCCAACCGACTGGACTGACGCTTTTCTAATGTTGAGATTTCTGACCAAGCAAAGGGGAGAGAAAACCAAATTCGAAACGTTTTCCACCAATTTTCTTTCTTGGTTTTCCAGGCGCTCCATTTAAAACAAATCCAGGCGCCCTCCGTGGGATTTCGGTTTTTGATTGTAAACGTGTCTCTCTCCCTCCAATTCTCTTGACTCAAGGGGAATTCAACTTAGAATAAGCTGAGGATTCATTTGCAAGCTTTTGGGTTTCCTAGAAATCTCGTAGATGATTACCCGAATGGACACGCTGCAGACTAGTTTTCCAGGCGCTCCATTTAAAACAAATCCAGGCGCCCTCCGTGGGATTTCGGTTTTTGATTGTAAACGTGTCTCTCTCCCTCCAATTCTCTTGACTCAAGGGGAATTCAACTTAGAATAAGCTGAGGATTCATTTGCAAGCTTTTGGGTTTCCTAGAAATCTCGTAGATGATTACCCGAATGGACACGCTGCAGACTACCCCTTGGGGGACCAGATGTGGCCACTCTGGGCCCGTGGACTCCCAGCCACGGCGCCGAATCAAGCTTTCAGCCACACCCACATGCAGACCCCGTTCCCTCCTGGGGCGCCCACGGAGCCTCTGGGGGCACCACCTGGGGCATCCTCCTGGGGCGCCCACGGAGCCTCTGGGGGCACCACCTGGGGCATCCTCCTGGGGCGCCCACGGAGCCCCCCCCACCCGAGCCTGGGGAGCAGACCGTGCGTGCGAAGAGGAAGCTGCACGTAGAAATCCAGCCTGCAGGGATCCCACGCCGGGCCCCGGGAGCCCAGGGGCCCCACGGAAGAGGGTCCCCCACTGCCTGGCTGCCCAAACACTGGGCCCAGGCTGCTGCA